TGGGTGATGCTGTGTCCTATTTAGTGGGTCAAAATAATACCAAGAAAAGTTAGTTTAAAAACCCATGTCAGAGACATAAAAATCAGTTTTCTGAGTATTCAGAAGTTTCTCGAGTATTCTGAGAAGTTCTCTGGGACTGAAGAAAAGTCTTCCAGGCTCTGAGGAGTTCCAAGAAGTTCTGAAGAAATGAAGATACCAAATGTGACTAAGACCTCTAACAACCCAACTCTACTGTGAGTATAATCTCTCTCTCTTAATCAGCTAGTGTAGAAGTCATAGAAGATAGTAAATGTATCTAGATAAAAGTGTTTAATACGATATATAAGTAGTAACTCAATAGAACTAACGTTTAAAGTGTGTAATGTTTTGGAGAAATTGTTAAATGTTATTTTAAGTGTTTACCATTGGCCTGAGACTCAGTTTGTTTATTCTAACTGTAAACTTCCTCAAGTTAGCGACTTGTGGCTCCACTCGTTACGACAAATCCTCCAATAAATAAATTTGGTGTGATGAGTAGTTTTAATTGAAACTCCAACAATTAAGCCCACCAGGGCACTACTTATTACAGAGTAACTTGTAGTAGAATTATCAGGGTGGTTTTTATTCTACTTTAGGAATTTTTAGAACTTTAAGGGCTGAGGTAGGTAATGTTTAGTACAAATATTTTTAGGGTGGCTTTATTTTATTTCTACTTTTGACTTTAATACATCTCTTTAAGGATAACTCCTTCCCACAACTAGCTACAGACAGTGAAGAGCAGTAAGAGTTGAGATGTTGTGGATGTAAACACTCAACTCTGCACCCTTAATTAATTTTCCATGACTGCTAACTGGTTTCTCATCTGTTTTTTGGATTTTGTCGAACAGATGGGATATCCCAGTGCTTTTGGGTGTTATTACTACAGCCAATCTCCATCATGACCTTTGGATTACAACTGGAAAGTGCGATGATTTTTTCAAAAAAGTTTTGGAATTTTTCTTATATTAAATTCATTATTGTTTTATAGCATTGATTTTGATCGTCTATTGGCAATTAATGTAACTGATATAATAATTCTGAACATATTCCTTTCTTTT